GAAGAGGAGGAAGAGGAGGAAGAAGGAAGAAGAAGAAGAAGAAGAAGAAGAAGAAGAAAGAAGAAGAAGAAGAAATAATAATAATAATAATAATAATAATGCAGGAAAAATCTCATAATGTTTTAAGAAGTTTAAGAATTTGTGTTGGGGCCAGGTGCAGTGGTTCATGCCTATAATCCCAGCACCTTTAGAGGCCAAGGCAGGCAGATCACTTGAGGTCAGGAGTTTGAGACCAACCTGACCAACATGGTGAAATCCCATCTCTTCTAAAAATGCAAAAATTAGCTGGACATGGTGGCAGGTGCCTGTAATCCCATGTACTCAGGAGGTTGACACAGGCCATGGGTTGAAAAACCTTGCCTTAGAGACTCACTGAAGAATGTTAAGAGAGTCAATGCATCTTTGAGGGAAAAGATCTTGCTATATTTTTCTTTCTTTCTTTTTTTTCCTACTTGAGCCACAAGTAGACAACAAGAATTTAAAATGTTGTTAAATGAAATAATGACATTTTACAAAATGGTACTCTATCATGAACTGTTTCAATTTGCTGCACAAATTTGCCGATAGCTTTGAAATAAAATAAGAACCTTTTTTAGATTATATAAAGGAAACTACCCTCTGTATGCAATGTTATAATTTTAACAACTCAATTTGTTTTAGTTAATATTAATTCTATTTTTTTTGGGTTTATTTAAAAGAAAAATAGAAAATATTCAGAATTTACATGTCTATCATCTAGGAAAATGGTATATAATTTTATGAATATAATTTTTTAATGTCAAAAAAACTTACAAATTTATATGCTGTCCGTACAGCAGGGGTTGCTTTGGTCATTGCTGTGTTGAACAGTGCACCTCCTTTCTGCAAAAGAAATACAGAAATGTATTTCCAAAAACTTTTGGCCAAAATGTCCTGAAAACAAAGCATTATAATAAGTGGCATAAAAAAAGCTTTACAGACAACTTAAAGTCCTATGCAAATTATTTCATGTTGAGTGTTTTCAAGTTTCTATGTACTATAATAATTTCAAACAAAATGTACACTTTCCACTTTGTTCTTTAGTTGATATTATACATCACTTAAAAAATCATTTGAAGTTTAGGTAAACATGAGCAATCTGAATATATTTAAAAGTTTAGAAAGAAATACTAGTTTATCAGCTGTTTTAATAGTGGGCAAATAAAGTCTCAATCTATGGGAGAAAGTTTCGTATTTAAAAATCATATTAGCAAAACTATATTACCAGAAATTATAAAATTGCCATCAAATCCTACTAACCCATCTAATTTCTTCTTCTGGAAAATAATAAAAGATGACAGTAAAGTCTTGCTTTTCAAAACAAGCATTTATCTTTGGACCAAGACTTTTCATTTAAAAATTATAGTAATGAGTTTCAACAAACTATAAACATAAAATAAGAATATTTAAAACGTAACAAAATATACAAACACTTCAAATATTTCAAATAAACAGCGTAAGTATAAACAGCATGCTTTTGCTGAACATTTCTCCATTTATATTAGAGTGAAAGAATAACATGTGAAAGCTTATGATTACCTTGACTGTATGCACCCATTGTTGATATGACCTCGGGTTTCCTGGAATATATAAAAATGAGATGCCAGGAATGTTCATCAAAAATAAATCTGTAAACCAAAATTTATCAAGGTCTAGTATTTGCACAATTTTTAGTAGGCAAATATTATATGCAATGTTGTAAAAGAAGCAATAAAAAATGGCATCATAAGAACTAATAAATTGTTCTAATTCTTAGGAATAATTAGCAATTTCAGGAATAACGATCACTTTTTTTCATCCATATATGAAGCTAATGGTATTCAATTTCTTCCACTTTAGCATTAGCCGCAGAGGAGAAAATATAACCAGCCTCTCTTCCGAAATCCAAAATTCTTATGCTTTTTAAACTGATTTTTCCATGTTTTATGTCTATGTTGTTTTGTAAACTTTGCATCCTTTACACAATTAGGTTTATTTTCAAATAATATTTCTTGTACATACAGAAATATTATACTGGTACTTTTAAAAAACTAGAAGAAAACTTAGAAGTGCAAACAACCTTGGCAACAAAAAACATTCTTCTACAACTGCTAAATATTAACAGAGATTAGTAGCTAACTTTATTTTAACGTAAACTTGGAGTTTTAGTTTTGAAAATATTCTCTAGTTGTAAATCTGTAAGTTAGAAAAATATTATGCAAGGATATGTGAAGCAAATGCAGCTTTTAGGCTATAGATTGTCATGATTTAACAGCTCAAGCGCTAACCAAAGTAGTTCTAATAAAATCTGGCAATCAACATATCTGTTTCCAAACTGATAATTTAGTCAATAAGATGCTATCAGAAGGTAAAAAAAAGAAATACAGATACAACTTAGCTAATCTTTCCCATCAAGTGATTTCAGTTAGATTTCAACTACCTTCTTGTTTAAAAGCTTAAATACTCCCTAATTCACAGGGGTAAAAAGTCACAATAAAAAACAAAATCCCAGACCTGGTATGGTGGCTCCCACCTATAGTACCAGCTACTTGAAAGGCTGTGGCTGGGACACTGGTCGAGCCGAGAAGTTCAAACTTGCAGTACACTATGATTATGCCGCTGCACTCCAGCGTGGGAGATAGGGCAAGACCTCATCTTTTTTTTTTTTTTAAAAAGAAAAAAAAAAAAGTCCCAATGGCTACTCAGACACTATTCAGTACAAAGAATCCCTAAAACATAGTGTTCTCCTCTAGTCTGTGGCTGTGGATTTTAAAAGATGTATCACCTTTCTCTTACTAAATAGAGACAAAATGATCTCAACCCCAAAATATCTTTCTACTGTTATCTTTGCACCCTAACCAACATCAGGGAAGAACTGTCAAGCTCTGGATTCACTTCTATATTTAAAATCTTACCCTAATTTAAAAGAAATGTCCATAAACAATTTTTATTCTGAAAAATATCTCTGACTGCTCAGAACACTGCAATGCACCTTTTCCAGAGGATGAAATATGGAGACAAAAAATTTTTTTCTCATCTAGTGAAATAATGAAAGCAAAATATAACTACCTAAAATAACATTAGTAAAAGTAAACTGCACTGTTTAAAAGGTATAAGGTTCATTCAGGTGGTATTTGGCTTGACCAAACTTTTAAAAGTAAATATTTCCCTTGCAAAATAATAAAACATTCCAAGTTATTCTACCAATTTATTTCTTAAGGAGATGTTTTCAAACAACAGAATAAACCGCAGATCTCTCTCCATCCAGATTGTTCATATATGTTTATTTCTGTATTAAAATACTTCTCTATTAAAAATGGTTGAGTGGAAATCACCTATTTAAGATTTGATTATTATTCATAGTATTCTGTAAAGTGTTCTATTTTAATTATTTTCCCAAATGAATGTAAGAAAGCAGAAGAAGAAACACCAGTTTAGCACTCTATAACACTTGTTAATCCAAAAAACAATTTATTTAAACCTCTGAACCACAAAGAAACTGGCTATCATAAAAGTTTCAAACCATTGTAGGAAGGTTAGGGTCTTATTTAGATCTCTGAGGAATAAGAAAGCAAATTTTCAGCCCTGTAGAAGTCATTGAATGTTTTTATCTACATCATTTGAACTGTAGTTTTCTACTGTAAAATAGGCAAACAAGTAGTGGATCAGTTCAATAAGAAAAAAGTGAGCTTTTGAGTCCAATGGACCTATGGTATTCAGGACTACTCTTTCCTTGTAAAGGATATTATTTGGGATGAGGTCCTTAACTTGGCTGAGCCTCAGTTTCTTCATTCATCAAATAAGCATAATAGTCACTGCCCTTCAGGATTATTGTAAGGAGGAAAGATAATGATTAAACAATGTTTAGTATGGTACACAGCATATTGAAGAAATATCATAAGTGATTGTTATTACTATAAATAATTTGGTAAAATAGAAAACTGAGGTTCTAAGATGACATATTATTTATTCATGTTCTCAAGGCTAGCAACTGAAAAAGAGTAAGAATCTAGGATTTCAATTCCTGGTTCACTATTCTTTCAACTCTGAAAAACTGCCTCTAAGACTGCTAAATAAAATATGATTAAAACGTAAGTTATGCAGAGGTTTCTGCTGTATCACACCCAAAGCAATTATATTTGAAAGGGAAAGGGGCTGCTCAAAGCTAATACCCTGAAAAGGAAGGGTAATAGAGAAAACTGCCAGCAATAATCTACAATTTCATAGTATAGGGCAAACCAGAAGTCCCTGGCTTAGATGACAGGAAGACATGGTACAATTTAGGTAGATTCCTATTTTAAAAGTTTTAAGGGCTAATTGTGCCTTTAAGTTTTAGTGCTTTTTGGCCGGGCATGGTGGCTCAAGCCTGTAATCCCAGCACTTTGGGAGGCCGAGGCGGGTGGATCACGAGGTCAAGAGATCGGGACCATCCTGGTCAACATGGTGAAACCCTGTCTCTACTAAAAATACAAAAAATTAGCTGGGCATGGTGGCACGTGCCTGTAATCCCAGCTACTAAGGAGGCTGNGAGAATTGCCTGAACCCAGGAGGTGGAGGTTGCGGTGAGCCGAGATCGTGCCATTGCACTCCAGCCTGGGTAACAAGAGCGAAACTCCGTCTCAAAAAAAATAAATAAATAAATAAAAAATAAAAAATAAAAAAAATAAAAAAATTTAGTGCTTTTATGATTCAAGGTTCTTATTTTCACAAAATTTATAAGAAAGGCACATTATTCTTTAGTAATGTTAGAAAAAAGCTGTTGTTCTTCTAAAAACTAATTTGAATACTAAAGAAATCCCTCAGAATCCTTCTTTCAAAATAACTGGATTATGGTAATAACAAGCATTACTGAACAGAATCTTAACATTATTTTTATTAATGAAACAACTGATTTTCTCACAATAAAGGACAAAATATCTATTTCTCACTTTCTCTTCAAATGTACTTGCTTAAATTCCAGTAATTTGTACTTATGTATCTCAAAATGTAAATGGTTTAAATTGTTCAGCAAGACCAGGAAAACAACACTAAAATTGATATTACCTACCACTTCTTCAAATTCCTTTGATACCTTAGTCAGTAAAACTAATTAAGAATGGAAAAATAAATACAAGAACAAATAAAAGACTCATCAGATTATGTGCATAAACTAAGGAAGAAACACATGCTAGTGATGGAGAGTAACCACACACTCCGCATAAAATCAATCTGAAAATATTTCTCCTTTCAAAAGTTATGTTGATGTAAATTTAAAAACTAATTTCATCTTAAATGAAAACAATTATTTAAAGAAAGAATATGTTCTTAACTACTCAATATTCCTTAGCTGCTTTTTCACAGACCAATATTGTGTTTACTTAAATGCATCCTTTGTTCTACTCCTGTCCCTTTTTATTACCTTTTAAACTCCATAGCTATTCCTCCCTTCACACATTCTTTTTAAGTTAAGTTAAAATTTTCCTTTTAAGTTAAGGTCGAAGGTTTTGCAAGGGTCTCATGAAGGAATAAGGTGTGACATGGATTTCCTTCATTGTCCTGATGAGGGCTCACAGGACAGACACAGTTTTTGACAAAAATGCATGCATTCACAGATTATTTAACCATATAGTTCTAGAGTCAAATGTGAATCTAGGTGTTTCTTATCTGTTTGTTCTACACTATATATTCTTAATCAGAGCCACAATAATTATAAAGCTCCATAATACTCATATTCATTTTATCATAACCATAGGCACTGACAACAAAAATAACATATAAACTACTACTGCAGTGATATATAAAGAGGATAAATAGATGTTTCTCTGAAATTTCCTAATTATTTTTGCTTAAAGGAATATAATTTTTTCTTAGTTTTAATGTTAATTTCTACCACAGTGGTCTTTCTAGGACTTCATGTGTAAAAAATCTATAAAAAATTCAAAAGAGATAAGAATTTTGCTTTGATTCAATCAGAGTAGAAAGGGGTTAACTACTACTCCTGTTTACTGAATATTTTTGCATTAAGAAAATCTATTATTAAAAAGCAATATATTATTATTAAAGCAAGGTCTTCGAAGCCACTTTGAATTCCACACATGTGGAAGTGAGACTGGCCACTACTTGCTGTATGACCTTGAGTGAATTATTGAGCTGAGTAATCAATAAAAATGAGGTAATAAAAGAATCTCCTAGGGTGTTGTGAGGATTAAATGAGATAATAGTTGCAGAGCTCTTGGGAGAGTTTGTCACATATTAGTGTTCAGTAAATATTAGCAATTGTATTACTATTATTATGAGAGAAACAAAGTTAGATCAGTTTACTTCTTTGAAGAACAGGTTAATTTCATGACATTGATATGTTTTTCTTTCTCACAAGGGTTGCGTGAAAGACAAATGTTTGGAACTGACCTCTAAGAACCATTTTGGAAAAACACACACACACACACACACACACACACACACCCCCTAGAGAGATGGATATTTTCTAATTAATAGTTAGAACACTACTAATTTTTATTATACTAGTCATCTTTTTATTTCAAATCCTAATATACTTTGCTTTATTTTCATCTACAAAAGAAGTCTATGTATCTCTAAAATAACATAAAATAGAATAATTTAAAAATATGCTTGATAGGCACAAATTTCTAAGGAACTTTCTTGCTGTACTCACTGGAATTAGTATTTGTCAAATTAGGCTTTCCTTTTAGATAAGTATTGGCTCTCTCAAATTAAAATAAGAGTTCAAAACCTTTTCATTTTAATAAAGAACCACAAAGTAGTGGGCATTAACTTGTATTACAAATGCAGAAGTTTCTAAGTTAGATACTAATCGGTAATCATATGTTCCTCTACTTTTTTAAACAGTAAGGCTTTTCATGAAAAATTTTAGTGAGCCTTACCACCAGAAAAGCCACCTATCTCTACTCTCTTACGGAGGTACCTGGAGCAATGGTTAAGACTACAGAATTTAACTGTACAAAAGGATCATGGTTCCAGCTCCTTATTGTCACAAAATGTCATCTTCAATTCTATAAAAGCTACTAGCCCCACGGGTCATAAAGATAATGAGACAGCAGTTATGTAAATACTGAATAGATGCCTCAAGCAACTTGTCCATGAGCTGACAATATTTTTGCTTGTCTGAGCTGAGAAGTAAAAAAGTGTTATTTTAACACAAAAGTTCCATTGAAGCTAAATTTTTACCCATGAACTGAGGGAAGCAAGGAGCTGAATGATTCCACATTCAGCTTATTTGCTGAGTCAAGCAAACTAACTTTTCCCCAAGCTAAACGCTTTCAATGAAATGAAATACATCAGATAAAGGTCCACAGCTACTGAGTTCATTTGTACCTCCTTTAATGAACCAATTATCTCAATGGTTTCTATATTTTAATGGAAAACATGAATCTTAAGAATAAAGTTAAATTCTGTGAAATGTATAGATGAATATCTGTTACTTGTTGTCTTTTCATGTTTCATTTCTCAATTCCAGCAACTATTTACACAAGACTGAAAATGTTTTTCTCAAAATAAATATACAAAGAAGTTTATACAATTGCTTATTATACCAGGTCAAAAATTAACACACTAAGATATAGAATACAGGGATTTTTGTTTATTTAGTATACCTAGTATTTAGAGCAGTGCCTAGTACATTGTAAGCACTCAGCAAATACTCAATGAATGAACAGGACACTTCCAGTACTCAAGCAAAATGCTCTGCAAGTCAAGACTATGTATGACAACTGTGCAAAAATATCAGTTTGTAAATTATGAATTGCCTAGATAATTATAACATTATTTGGACATTTACATTAGAAGGATTAATTATATTTATGGAATGTTAAATTGGAAACTTTCCTCCTGTGGTGATGTATAAAGTAAAAAAGGTAAAGACATCTGCACAGTAATACAGTTACTTAAATATGTAGAAATAATTTTGGTGTTCAGATCTTTCTTTTTGGATTGTGTTATCAATCATAACTTCAGTTCTTTAATTCATACTCAGTAATAACCATCATTAGTAGTTTTCTAGCAGAGAACACTACTATTCAAAAGGAAAGGCAGGAAGATATGAGTTGACTGGATTTCTGTATTACTAATTTCCAGTAATATTAAGAGATTATTCAGGCCAACAGCTACCAATTCATGAGGCCAACTTAATGCCTTGAGTAACAGATATCTGGCAAAATAAGCTAGTATCATAACTTTTATAAGATGATAAAATGCATTTAAGATATTACATATTTAGGAGAAAATAATAGTTTATGAAATAGATTTTATCAGACACAAGTGCAAAAACTGAGATAATTGTTATTTAGAAAATGGATAATCATATTATAACTAGTCTTTACCTCCACAAAAGCCACCTGAAGTGATCTCTTCTTCAAATACGTCAGAGAAACCCCTTCCTGTGTTTAGTTTTGCCAGTCGACCATCGATAAACTAAAATTTAAAAGTGTTAAATAAAATGTATCAAATAAAATGTTACCAAGTAAAATGTTAATTTGACATTTATTTTATAAGATTAAATATTTACTTGCATCAAAAACATTAATAGCAGACTTGTATAAATTACACATATATATGGCGTATATACACACACAAACACACATGGAAATTCTCAAACAATGCAAAGAACAGGTGCTCAGTAAACAGCAGCTATTTAATTAAATCGCAAATGTACAGCAAAGACTCTAATTCTAACTGATTTGCAAAAAATTGCAAAGTGCAGTAGTAAAGATCATAGGCTCTGGACAGGTTGCTCAATGTACAATCTCTGCAGAGGGGTTTGTACAAAGATACTGTTGCCCTGCCAAGCCATTTACCCATGGGGCTGTATCCTGTCCAGCCAGCCCTGTTTTCTCAGAAGGAAAACACCTCATGGTGTTGCTGCAAACAACAAATTAGATTAACCGAGGAAATGTGACATGGCCGATATCCTTGAGATGTTCGACATTACTGTTTTTCAGCTTCTTAACTTCATTCAGTAAAATAAAACACTACTTGTCTAAACTATTATGTTCTAAAGCATAATGGAGAACCAAATAATTTTAATTATTTATAATAAAATCAACACAACTTTCAAAGTTCCTGGCATACATGCTCACTAAATAAGAATTAGGACTGTTAACTTAAATACAGTTGAGGTAAATGCATGTTGACTTGACATACATGAAAATACTTTAGGCAATATTTTTCCGTGTTCTTAAAAAAGAGGTGGGGGGCATGGGAGACTGAAACTATCAAAAGCACCCAAAGATCTTTTTCAAAATGCAGAGATCCAGATACCCTGGAGACTATCTTCTGTCACCTGTTCTGCTCTATTCCTTACCTGTTCGAACATACACAGTATATCAGACTCTCACGGTATTAATACTGCATTTGAAAAGTATTCTGGGTATTTTTATATGACCAACCCAAGGTGAAAATCAATGTCATACACACAAACACGCACACACACACAAACAAACAAACATATAAATACATGTATTACTAGCACTTGGTTACCTGTTGTGATTTGTAGCACTTAAGAATTTGATACGTTGTGGTTTACTCCATCCATAACGATGATGAAATATCTTTAAGCCTCCCTTGCTTAAGAGGCAGGGGATAACATAAGCAAGATTTATATGCCTTTTGCAAGGAGGACTTGAAGATTTGAGGATTAAAATGTTCAGTTTCATCCAAAAACTAATCCTGACTGTAATTTTTACTCCAGAAATTTAAATTTTACCTGAACTAAAATAAAGTAGCTGGTCTTAAAAAACAAATCTCATATTCTTCCCTGGTTTTCTATTTGAATGGTTAATGAACAAAACTAATTGAGACAAGTTGTATAGAACAATATAATATTCCTCAGGCAGCAATTTAAGATAATTAATAGGCCGGGCATGGTGGCTCACTTTGGGAGGCTGAGGCGGTGGGGGTGGGGTGGGGTGGTGGATCATGAGGTCAAGAAATCGAGACCATCCTGTACAACATGGTGAAATCTCATCTCTACTGAAAAATACAAANAAAAAAAAAAAAAAAAAAAAAAAAAGCTGGGTCTCATGGCATATGCCTATAGTCCCAGCTACTCAGGAGGCTGAGGCAGAAGAATCGCTTGAACCCAGGAGGTGGTGGTTGCAGTGAATGAAGATTTCACACTACACTCCAGCCCAGTGACAGAAGAAGACTCCATTTCAAAAAAGAAAAAAAAGATAATTAATAGCAGTAAGTTGCACCAGTTATAAGACTTTGAGTCAATAATCTTACAGAAAAAAAAAAGAAAGAATAAAAAATGAATAAACAGAGCCCTGTTCAAGATGTGATTTATACAGACCAATGAAACACAATAGAGATCCCTGAAATAAAGCTACACATCTACAACCAATTGTTCTTTAACAAAATTGACAAAATAAATAATGGGGAAAGATACCCTATGCAATATATGTGCCAGGAAAACTAGCTAACCATATGCAGAAGAATGAAACTGGACTCTTACATCTCAAGACAAAATAAATAAATAAATTTCAAGATGAATTAAAGACTTAAATGTAAGACCTCAAACTAAAAGAAAATCTTTCTTCCTAGAAGAAAACCTAGGAAATACCCTTCTAGACATTGTCCTAGGCAAATAACTTACGCTTAAGTCTTCAAAAGTAAATGTAACAAAACCAAAAATTGAAAATTGAGGCCCAGTTAAACCAAAGAGCTACTGCACAGCAAAAGAAACTATCAACAGAATGAACAGACAACCTATAAAATGGGACAAAATATTGGCAAAATATGCATCCAACAAAGGACTAATATCCAGAATCTATAAGAAACTTAAACAAGAAAAAAAATCACTCCATTAAAAATTAGACAAAGGACATGAACAGACACTTCTCAAAAGAAGATATAAGTGGTCAAGAAACATATGAAAGAATGCTCAACATCAGTAACCATCAGAGAGATGCAAATCAAAACCACAAAAGACACCACCTCACAACAGTCAGAATGACTATTATTAAAAAGTCAAAAAGTAACAGATGCTAACGAGTTTGCAGAGAGAGGGAACACTTACACACTGAGAGAGTGCCAAATAGCTCAGGTCCTGTGAAAAGCGGTTTGGAAATTTCTCAAAGAACTAAAAATAGAATTACCATTTGATCCAGTAATCCCCTTATTGGGTATATAGCCAAAGGAAAATAAATCAGTTTACCAAAAAGACAGCTGCATTTATAGGCTTATTACAGCACTATTCATGTAACAAAGACATGGATTCAATCCAGGTGTGTTTTAACAGCTGACTGAATAAAGAAAATATGGTACATATATACCATGGAATACTGTGCAGACATAAAAAAGAATGAAATCATGTCCTTTGCAGCTGATAAATTATGCTGGAGGCCATTATCTTAAGCAAATTCATACAGAAATAAAACCAAATATTGCAAGTTTTCACTTAAAGGTGGGAAGTAGATAGACTTCCGCCAAGATGGCCGAATAGGAACAGCTCCAGAGCGCAGTTCGCAGTGAGAGAGACACAGAAAGTAAATGATACCCGCATTTCCAACTGAGGTACCAGGTTCATTTCAATGGGACTGCCTGGACAGTGGGTGTAGCCCAAGGAGGGCAAACCAAGGCAGGGAAGGGCGCTCCCCCACCAGGGAAGTGCAAATGGACGGAGGATAGGGGACTTTACCCTCTCAGAACTCCAGTTCGGATACTGCGCATATCCCACGGCCATTGCAACCCACAGTCCAGGAGAATGCTGCCAGGCTGAAAGGCACCATGAGTTACCAACACAGATCAGAGCAACAGCTCCAGCTGGCCTGGTGCCACAAGTTCTCAGCACAGATGTGGGTGGAAATTTTGACCAGCTCTGAGAGTGCCTGTGGGATGATTCTACCAGGAAGAGGGAGAGATGAAAACAGGGAGACAGGTGATATGGCTTGGCAGGTCCCATCCCCAAAAAGACCAGCAAACTGAAGTACTCTTGCTTGAGAGTTTCGCAGCCAGCACATCAGTCCAAGCTCCACTCAGACAATCGAGTTTGGTGGGAGGAAGGGCATCCACCATTGCAAAGGCAGGTCTAATCTCACCTGTGTGAGATTAGAAAGGCCAGAGGAAGCCTACACAGCAGCGGGGCTGAGTCCGATGCAGCCCAGCAGTGCCTCTGCAGGCAGACAAGGGACAGACTGCCTCCTCAAGCGGTTCCCTGACCCCTGAATAACCAAAAAAATGCCTCATAAATAAGAGCTAAAGCTGACACCTGGCAGGCAACTATCTGGGATGAAATTACCAGAGGAAAGATCAGGCAGCAACCTTCACTGCTTTATAACCCCCGTGGGTGATTTCCAGGCAAGCAAGGGCTGGAGTGGACCTCCAGCAGTCCTACAGCAGAGGGGCCTGTTAGAAGGAAAACTGAAAAAAACAAAAGAAATCACATCAACATCGACAAAAAATGTCCACTCAGAGACCCCATCCAAAATCAGCAACTTCAAAGATCAAAGGTAGAGAAACCCACAAAGATAAGAAGAAGCCAGCACAAAAAGGATGAAATCAAAAAGACCACAATGCCTCTCCTCCTCCAAGGGATCAAAACTTCTCACCAGCAAGGGAACAAAACAGGATGGAGAAATAGTTTGAGAACTGACAGAAGTAGGCTTCAGAAGACGTGTAGTAACAAACTTCTCTGAGCTAAAGGAACATGTTCTAATCCAATGCAAAGAAACTAAAAACCTTGAAAAGAGGTTAGATGAAATGCTAACTAGAATAACCAGCTTAGAGAAGAAGATAAATGACTTGATGTAGCTGAAGAACACAGCAGGAGAACTTTGTGAAGCATACACAAGTTTAAATAGCTCAATTGATCAAGCAGAAGAAACTATATTAGGGATTGAAGATCAACTCAATGAAATAAAACAAGAAGGCAAGATTAGAGAAAAAAGAGTGAAAAGAAATAAAGCCTCCAAGAAAGGGATTATGTGAAAAGACCTAATCTACGCTTCATCGGTGTACCTGAATGTGATGGGGAGAATGAATCCAACCTGGAAAACACTCTTCAGGATATTATTCAGGAGAACTTCCCCAACCTAGCAAGGCAGGCCAACATTCCAATCAGGAAATACAAAAAACACCACAAAGATATTCCTCAAGAAGAGCAACACAAGGCACATAGTTGTCAGATTCACCAGGGTTGAATAAAGGAAAAAATGCTAAACGCAGTCAGAGAGAAAGGTGGGTCACCCACAAAGGGAAGTCCAACAGACTCATAGCAAATCTCTTGACAGAAACCCTATAAGCCAGAAGAGACTGGGGGCCAATATTCAACATCCATAAAGAAAACAACTTTCAACCCAGAATTTCATATCCAGCCAAACTAAGCTTCATAAGTGAAGGAGAAATAAAATCCTTTATGGACAAGCAAATGCTGAGAGATTTCATTGCCACCAGACCTGCCTTATAAGAGATCA